TGCTCCTCGACAGAAGTCCAGTCCAGGGTTGTCCAGCAGGGTCCGTTCACTCTCCCCTTTCTCCCCCACCAGGGTCACAAAGATGTAGTTGTTTGTGCCTGAATACTCTGATGTACCAGTTGCTACTGTTACAGTGTAGACTTCCATCTATAATATCAATTAACACACACACGCTATTAGCCAAGGGTTCAGCTGACAACATGTGATACTTGAAGGATACTATTGATGCACAAGGACTGAAGCTGTCACATGCTGAACATTTGCATATTAGCTTCCATCAGTGATGGTGGCCCTGCATCAGATCCACATTTATGCCTAAGTAGTGGGTTCATCTGCCTTAACCACACCCATTGCTAATACGTGCATAAAATGAAGACTACAACCGTGCAATCTCATCTGACAAACGTTTTCAGGTTATCCTGAAGAGCTCAGTGACTTTCAACATGGCACTGTCATATTTTCTGCCTGAATACATCCTGCCAATTGTTATGCTGGTGGATGATTATGCTTGTGGTCTGTGTCTGTTTTTCCTGGTTAGCATGAAATAAAATCCATAACACCAATGTGCTTTCAGCATTGTGTCAGTTGGGCTTTGGTTTCAACATGACAATGTCCCCCATGCACAAAGCCAGCTCTATAAATAAATGTTTTTCCCAGTTTGGTGTGGAAGAACTTAACTGGTCTGCACAGGACCCTGAGATCAACCCCATAAACCCAACACCTTTGGGACAAACTGGATTACCAACTACAAGCCAGGCCTTGTCACCCATTGTTGACCAGTCTGACACTTATCTGACACTGTGTGTGCTAACTCTAGGTTTACCAATTCAGCTTTGAGCTATGAGTGGCTTCACATGGCAGAGATGGTTTTTGAAACAAACAACCAACAGATCAACATGTCAACAGTGCAGTGTCAATAGTTAGATAAGATGATCATGTCAATAGCTCTGAGGAAGCCCACATATTTTTACCTGGAAAGTTTAGTTTAGAGTATAACTCTTGAGTCAAAAACACCCCATGAATTTAGTTTTTACAGTTACTGCATATACACTATTACATTGTCCAGCATATCATAGTAATCAAACTCTTCCTCAAAAATGACGAAACTGTAGTTTCACATTTCCGTGAGGGCACTGACGTACTGATGTGAGTATTATTTCCTGGAAATAATTTGAATATCTTTTCAGGAGTAACCAAATGTATAAACCACACTGATGCAAATAAGCTGATAAAAACAACAGATAAGTGGGCGACACAGCAGATGTGAAAGCCCACGTACCTGTGGTAGGACATGACTAAGACCTGCTGTTCATCATGAGACATGGTGTGCCTGAAAGTCTTTTCCATGCTTAACCTTACTCTAGCACAAATAGTAGATTTACTGTTACTGTACTATTGGTATAGATGGATAAATGCCAAATGCATATTCTGGAAACCTTGACCTCAAAGGTTTCCCTCACAGCCAGATTGATGTGTTTTGCATTGTGTGCTGTATGCACCATGTAGACACCAAGTTCTATATTTATATTATATTTAAATATATTATATTTATATTTATATAGCGCCAATTTCTAACAGAAGTTATCACATTGCACTTCTCATATAGAGCAGGTCTAGACCGTACTCTTTGTTATATTATTTATAGAGACCTAAGAATTCCCACCATGAGCACTTGGCGACACAGGCACGGAAAGACAGAACCTAGACTCAGGGTTGGCAGCAATCAAATGTCATTAAACTAACGCAGAAGAAGAGGACATGATGAAATGACATCATTAAAAGAGCTCCAGCCAATGCTCAAAGAATGGAAACGTTATTGTTGTGTTGTTGTTGTTGTTGTGTTGTTGTTAAAATCACGTGGAAAACATGGAAATATGACATTTCTGTGTTAATGGGATGAAGGTTACAGTCTATTGCTCCACACAGTTTTGATGGTTTCATCTCGAGTGATGTTCATGTGACGTCTCGTCATGTATGTCATCATTTATTTGCGAATGTATTATTATTATTTACACCAACTTTTCCACCTCAGTCAAATAAAAATGTTGATATTTCACCTTTTTGTTCTTTTGAAAACCAACATTCAAAACATGTTATTTGATTCTTTTGCATGATCCTGCTCTGGGTTTACAAAATGCAGTGATGTGTGTTTCCACAGCAGGTTCAGGTAAAGTACAGGCTGAGGTGAGAGCCTGATGTCCCAGCTCAACCTGCTCAGAAGTCAAAGTCACAGAGTATATCGAGTAACATTGTTGAGTTACTTTAATGCAATCACACTTATCATACATTACATTACATTTATTCATTTAGCTGACACTTTTATCCAAAGCGACTTACAATTGCTATACATGTCAGAGTTTGCACGTCTCTGGAGCAACGAGGGGTTAAGTGTCTTGCTCAGGGACACAATGATGGATGGGTCACAGCAGGAATTGACCCAGGTCTCCCACACCAAAGGCAAGAATCTTATCTATGCGCCATCAGCCTCTTAGTTGATATTTTTATAACGTTAAAAAAAACAGCAGGTGCTGCAATATTATGCTTTGAAAACAACTTTCTTTCACACCACAGCAAGGAACTATCCAGAAATTAAGCTTTAAGATTTAGGCATATGAGCGTTATAGTTCAGTCAGTCAGCTACAGCATACGTGATAGTATTTATCCTCCCTGGGGTGTCAGAATCCAAGAATAACAGAATAATACTCACCTTAATCTAGAACTGTGTCACAGCTGAGTATCAGTTTCCTCCTCTTTTTTCCCCTTGTAGATTTCCTTCGAATCTGTTTGTATTATTTTTCTTTTTCTCCCTTTCTCTCTTTTAAAAGTCCTCACAGATGTGTATGTTCAACAGTTACCTGGTCAGCATGGCATTTCAAAATACAAAAATCTACTGTTTCTCTGCTACCAGCAGGAGTTTCTTTAACACACTCACTCCCACAGCTCTACTGACTCTGTCTCACACTCCCCATCAAACAGTCCCTTGTGTAGTCTCACCTTGCTCTTTAACACAGAGAGAGAGAGAGAGAGAGAGAGAGAGAGAAAGTGAGAGAGAGTGAGTTGCAAAGGGGAAGTTGTTAGCAGACCAGCAGCAGCTGTAAAAAGCTTGCCATTCAAAAACAGAATTTAAATAAGTACATTAAAAGTTAAGTTAAGTAAAGTAAATCAATTTAATAAAACTTTATTTATATAGTGCCAATTCATAACAAGTGTTATCTCATTGCACTTTTATACAGAGCAGGTCTACACCGTACTCTTTGTAATAATATTTACAGACAGTTCCCACCGTGAGCAAGCAATTGGTGACACAGGCAAGGAAAAACTTCCTTTAAGGAGGTAGAAAACTTAAACAACAACCGTGACTCAGGGTGGGCGGCAATCTGCCTCGACCGGTTGGGGATGAGGGGGGGCACAGTAGTAACAAAATATCCACACAGAAACGCAAACAGAAAAAGTAGTAGTGGTACAGCCTGAAAATCAATAATGGTATTGATAATTATATTAATATTAAGCTAATAGGACTAGTAACAATAATTCTAGCAGAGGGTGTCGAGCAGGAACACGGGGGCAGCAGGTGACCCGCAGCCACAGATCCAGACTCCACAGCTCCAGAGCCAGAAAACCTGCAGGAAGTGATAGGAGGAGAGAGGAGAGGGACGAGAAAGCACAAGACTACCGGAAAGGGGAGAAGTTGTAGTATCCAATATTTATGCATTTGACTCATAACAGTTCAAAATAGCACTGTAGCAGCAGGACAGAGGGTCAGTGACCTCCTACGGGGGGAGAGCAGTGATTGGTGGTTATGTAGGGACTGAACCCTTCTATAGAATTTGACCTCTAACCCCTTGTTTTGTTACTTCAAAATAGTACTGTACCCTTCTATGGGTTTGACCTTTTATTTTGCAGACTCAAACCCCTCTATGGTACCTAACAGATACCTAAACATATCCTATATAAGCTATGTTTAATATACAGAGAGACAGAGTGGCCATCAGGCTGTGTTACTCTCCAAGCTGCTGCAGAGCTTGTAATTGATGCTGAACTCCTTGATGTAGTAAACTTTTATGATCAAGAACAGTGTCAAGCGGCTTTCTTCTCAACACATCATTGCAGCATTATTGTTCAGACACCACTAAGTCGAGTTAGTAACATGCATTAATAGGATGAGGTTGCATACAGAGGGAGAGAAAGTAGAGGAGAGAGGAGCTCAGTGCATCATGGGAAATCCCCCGGCAGTCTAGGCCTATAGCAGCATAACTAAGGGATGGTTCAGGACTCACCTGAGCCAGCCCTAACTATAAGCTTTATCAAAGAGGAAAGTCTTAAGCCTACTCTTAAATGTGGAGATGGTGTCTGCCTCCTGAACCCAAACTGGAACCTGGTTCCACAGGAGAGGAGCTTGATAGCTGAACACTCTGGCTCCTAGTCTACTTTTGGAGACTCTAGGAACCACAAGTAACCCTGCATTCTGGGAGCGCAGTGCTCTGGTGGGGTAGTAAGGTACTATGAGCTCTTTAAGATAAGATGGTGCCTGACCATTAAGAGCTTTGTAGGTAAGAAGAATGATTTTAAATTCTATTCTGGATTTTACTGGAAGCCAATGCAGAGAAGCTAAAACAGGAGAAATGTGATCTCTTTTCCCATCAGAACATGTGACGCAGCATTCTGGATTCTGTTGTTGGTTCTTGTTTTGGTATTCCTTTGTCTTGTGTCTATTTACTTACTTCCTGTCTTCATGTTTTCTCAGTCTGTGTTTTGTCATTGTTTCATTTTTCTTTGTTTCCTGTTCACTTGGGTGGTCGAGCAGTGTCTCGGACTGTTTCCCTTGCCTTTGTGTTGGACTACTGTGGATTTTGGTTTTGGTTCTCACATGCCTTCTCTGTTTGGATTCTCACTTTGCTTTTAGATTGTGGACTTGAGACCTGCCGCTCTCCCTGGTCACAGAAAAAACACAAAATAATTAATCCATGTCATGAAAAACTGGACTGATGTTTATTAATAGATTAATTGAACCTCATACAGACATTAGGTATGAAAACAAACATTCCCTAAAAGTGTGGGGGGAAAAATCACATAGCTTTCTGATGATATCATATATATGTATTTACCATAATTATTATAACAGTATGACCTGCTGATGGAACTGTGTA